AAAAAAAAAAAAAAAAGGTGAGGCCGAATGTGAGCTGGGTGTGTCCTGTAATCGGTAAAAGAGAAGCGAGCAGCCCGTACTGGGATTTTGCGGGGAGAGCCCCCAGACTCCACAAGCCCCCAGCTGCACGGCCCCCACAAGAGTCGGGGGGCGGGGGTGACAGGCCGAGACACGCCTCACCGCAGGGCCCTGGTCTCCACAGGTGGACAGCGACACCATATGGAACGAGGTGCACTCGTCGGGCGCGGCCCGCCTGGCCGTGGGCTGCGTGGTGGAGCTGGTCTTCAAGGTGGCCACGGGGGAGCTGAAGGTCAGTGGGGGCCCTGCAGAAACCGGCCTGGAGGAAGGCTGCCAGAGGCTTTCCAGGGTGGGGGTGGGAGGACGGCCCCCGGTGGGCCCCTCTAGACAAGGAGGCGGTGACTGGGGGAGGGTGGCTCCTGTCCAGGGGCGAGGGTGGGCCCTGTCCCGTGGGTCCCCACTCATCGACGGGAGCACCTCCGGCCCTGGTGAAAGTGCGTGGTGGCACAGCGGCTCTCGAAGCTTCGGTCTCGGGAGCACCTTACACTCCCGACAACTTTGAAGAACTCGGAGAGCTTTTGTGTACGAGCTGTGTCATCACCCCGACCATACGAGAGATTCAAGCGGGATTTTCAAAACTGCTTATTAACTTGAAAATAGCAGCAACGCCTGTCTTAGTGGATCGGGTGGTCTCAGACCTGCTCCTGCACGAGACTGTGGCCCCACAAGACGTGGGCGTGCGAGAGGGGACAGCGTTCGCATAGCTTTCTCAGACAGCGGTGCAGATTCCTCCTTGATGCTCCACTGCGGTTCCGTACGTGGAAGTTTCTGGAAGATGAGTTGCAGTGCAGAACCTGATCGGTAGCAGTGGGATCCTCTCCTTGGCATGGAACCCACTGGTCTGTTGCAGGTTGGACAGGGCACCCGACCCAGTGCGGCTCACTTGGAAGCCCTGGCTTATGAGTTAGGCAGACACCTTCCAGAATCTCGACACAGTTTGTTGCATAGTATTTAAAACATCACTGATTTTCGAAGCCGTTACTCTGGACGCCCATCTCCTCGGGAAGGTCATCTGAGCGCAGGCAGGAGCTGGCCGTGGGCTTCTCAGATGACGCTACGGTCTCACCCTGCACCCACTTCCCCGTCCTTCCCTTTTGTTCTCTCAATGGGAGAACTTTCACGAAGTCAATACGTTTGATCCCGGCATCACACGTCCTCGGGCAGAGCTGCTGTCCCCTCGAGCCTGCTGGAGAAAACGGGCGGAGGGCCTATGCGTCCCTGGCATTGCCGGCTCCCGTGGCACCAGCCACCTGCCTCCCTTGCCCTGGCACCGTGGTGATGGAGTCTTAGGATGGGGGCATGGAGACCCCCAAGGGGGTGCCGCCTGTGCTCGGAACCGGGTGCGGGGCCCGCGCGTAGGACAGTGTTAAGAGTGCGCAAAGCGGGGGCTCCCGTGTGAGCGTGTCCCTCCCCGAGCTGGTCCTGCAGCAGGCCCCGTCACCAATGGTCAGTCCGCCCCGGGGGGTCAGTTCGCCCCGGGGGCTGTTCCCAGCCTGACCACACAGCTCCCCGCGGGCCACACAAGAGGTGCCCGCCCGTGCACATCATTTTCCGTGGCTGCTGAGCAGTGTATTATGGTTCTGTAAAGCACACGTGACTTACGGGTCCCGGGGGAGGGGGGCACCCTGTAGCCTCTGAGCTGTTTCCGCTGAGTAAATGGGTCACTTATTTTCTGCAGCACCCGTGCCCCCTCGATCTGCGTCCTTCACGTTCAGCCCAAACTGGGGCAGGAGCCCCTTGCGCTCTGTCTGCACCCAGGGTTCCCATCAGGTGGCTTCTTGGGGGTACCGGTCACGAACAGAGGGGGACCCAGGGTGCCCTGCCCACTCCTACCCAGATCCCAGAGCTGAGCAACTCCAGGCCTTCTCGTGGGGGAGCCGTTGAAGGTCAAATGTCAGGGGTGAAGTCACCTTTCATCCTAGTAACCATGACAACCAGTAGACCTCCTTAAGAGCAGGACCAGACGTCTGCCCCGTATCCTGTCCCACGGCTGTGTGCCCAGCTGTGCTGTGACTCTGTGTCCTCGTGTGTGGTCTGGGCTCATCTTCTCACTAACGTGAAACCCGTCTTTCCTCCCTGTTTGTCCCCACCTGTCTGGTGCCGTGTGCAGAACGGCTTTGCCGTGGTCCGCCCCCCAGGACACCACGCGGAGGAGAGCACGCCCATGTAAGTAGGCACGCGGCCGTTCCGGGCAGGGGCTGCAGGTTTCCGGTTCCTCTCATGGGAGGGCTGGGCTGCACTGGAGTGAAAATGGGGCCCCAGCTGGCACAGCTCCAGAGCCGTACAGGTGACCTTCACCCACCAGCTGTGGCGAGGTGGTGGCCTGAACCGGAGGGGGCAAGGAGAGGAACCCACAGACATCTCTAGACATCTTCAGTCTTGTACAAAATTGGCTGGGGACTTAACCTGCACCAGAATGAGTTCATGTGGTGCTTCATTGTTCTAGAACATTCCATCCAGACCCCTCAGGTCATCTCACGTGTGGCCTTTTAGCTGACCTGCTTGTGGTTTGATACCAATGAGACTGACGTTTCAAGGTCGTGACCACAAGGGCCAGCTAGGTCTGGACTCCGTTTGGGGCTAGGGGTGCCTCTGACCATGCACACATCTGAGGCGCTGGCCGAGGTAGCGGGCGTGGCACGCAGATTGCCCCAGGTTTACCTGGGAGAGTCGGTGGCAGGTAGGGACGGACCCACCTGGGGCAGAGTCACGGGGACCGGACCCTGGGCCTCACCAGTCGTGTACCGAGTGCCTTGGTGCCTGGGGGTGGGTTCGCCGTGATGCCATCTCGTGGGATGTGGGAGGGAAGGGCCCTGACGCCGCTGGTGTCAGTGGAGGTAAGAGAGGGGACGTCCGGGCTGTGCCCCAAAGAGCAGGGTGGGTCAGACAGCACAGCGGGGACCGTGCAGACAGAGCACGGCTGGGAAGCCGGGAAGCGCGGGGAGGCGGAGGCAGACCCTGTCTTCAGGAGCAGCTAGAACAGGCTGAGGAGCCGCAGGCCAAACCCACACTCGTGAAGGAGCCTGGGGTCTGGCAGACAGGCGAGGGGGAGCCCCGTGTCTTCTAAATCTGGAAGCGAGGGCATCAGACCGCGGTCTGAGAGGGAATCTCCTTCCCGCGGCCTCAGGGAGCGCGGCCTCACCTGAGCAGCCCTGTGGCCTGGGACGCCATGACCCAGAACGCTCCGTGGCATTTGGGAGCAAGATCCGCCTTCCCCTGGAGGCCCTGTTCTGATTGGGGTCTAAGTGGTTGGGTGTCCTGAAGTGTACGAGCCGCGTGGGCTGGAAGGAAACGGACAGCAGCGTGCCGGGTGGGCTCCCGCGGGTGTTCGCACGAGCCGTGGGTGGGGTCCCGGGCCCGGAGGAGCCCGCCAGGGGAGGGCTTACAGGTGGCTGGCCCGGATTCCAGAAACGGACCCCCTGGGTTTCCCCACCTTTGTGGAGATTTAGGTCAGGGGGCAGATGTGGAGAGTTCCAGTTTTACTTGAATTGGTTTGCCTTCTCACCCTCCTGAAGACTCTCAGGGTCAGTCAGTCACGGGATCGATTCTTGTGTCGTCGTCGCATGTCTGAGAACGTGACAGATGTGCAGTAAGCAAGTAACCTTTGTGACCTCTGGGCCTGTGCGCCGTAGGGCCCCTGCAGAGGCCGGCCCGTGCGCGTTCTGCGAGGTTCTGGGGCGAGGAGGCGGGGTGTTGGTACATCGAGGGAGGGGTGCCCCACCCCGGGGCACCTCGGTCCGCGTGCGGGAGACCCGTGGGGGTCCGTCTGTGCCTCCGCGGCGTCAGTTAACAGAGCCGTGAGTTCACCAGACCCTCTTCAAATCTCACAGGGCTCTAGATGGTTCTGTCGCGTCTTGCGTAAAGGCGGATGAGAACCCGTGTTTCCTCTCCGTGTGTCCTCTCATCTGCAGGGGGTTCTGCTACTTTAATTCCGTAGCCATCGCAGCCAAGCTTCTCCAGCAACGGCTGGACGTGAGCAAGACCCTCATCGTGGACTGGGTAAGTGGGACCCCTTCCCCGAGAGGGGCTGGGGGCCGTGCGCCCCCCTGCTTCCCCGAGCAGACAGCATCCTGTGTGCGTTTCTGCCTCCTTTGACCTTGCATTTGGGGACCTTAACTTCCTGGAAGCTACCTCAGAGACGCAGGAAGTAAAAGCTCAGACTTGCTCCGAGTCCGTTTTACAGGTGCCCTCTGCCCGTCCTGCCAGTAGCCGGTTCCTGAAATGTCTAGAGCTGTGCCCGTGACTGAGGGCAGCGGCCGGAAGAACTCGTGGAGAGGAGGGTTCAGGGGGGCGGTGCCGGCCTCGACCTCACGCGTCCACTGCAGGGCCTGGGCCAGGCCCTCCCACGGCCAGATGCGGCATGTGCGTGTCAGACCCTCCTGACGGGAACTGGGTGATTACGCCCGTGTAGCCGCTGCCCCGTTTTCCTGCCGGGCCTGCCGCCTCCCCCCGGCCCCACTGCCTGGGGGGTAAACTGCGGTGTAAGAGCTGTCGGTCGCGGCTGAGCTCCAAAAGCAGTTACGCGAATGCTTGTCCCGGGGATGGTCGTGGACGGTGCTTACTTTTTAATTCTCCTTCATTCTGTTTGGCATTTATGATTTATTTTATAAAATTTTTAAGGGAGAAGAAAAGCAGATAGATACCCAGGGGGGATGATCCTTTGTGCCGCAGACTCCTTCCCAGTTTGGGAAAAGAAACACCAAACCCCAGCCCGGCAGAAACCGGCAGGCTCTCAGGGGCCGGGCACTGGCCAGGGGCGCGTAGATGGCAGAGGCCGTGCTTAGCGTGCTCGGGTCCTCGTCCCCGTGTCCCCATGAGCCCGGCCTCCACTCCTCCCAGAGGATTAGTTAGGGGTGCTGCCGAGGTGTTAAGTGTGGAGCGGTGCGTGACCACGTGGCTAACATCCCCTCGGTCCACGACGCAGGCGTGGCCAGGACGTGGGGGGAAGTCGATGGTTGTAGGGCTGCTGACCCCGGGTGTGCGCCCCCACGGGAAAGGGCACACGCGCGTGCAGGGCTGCGTCAGGTGCGGAAGGTTCCCGTCCCCACAGCCTTGGTGCACGTCTGCTCGGCTATGGTGGCTTTCTGGTTGATGGGATCAGGTGTCTGTCCTGCCACATCTCTTCTGGTGAGCACAGATAGCTTTTACGTTTTTTTTTTTAATATACTTTTTTTAATGTTTATTTTTGAGAGACAGACAGAGACAGCGTATGAGCAGGGGAGGGGCAGACAGTGGGGGGGGAGACAGAATCCGAAGCGGGCTCCAGGCTCCGAGCCGTCAGCACAGAGCCCGACGCGGGGCTCGAACCCACGAGCAGTGAGATCATGACCTGAGCCGAAGTCAGACGCTCAAGCGACCGAGCCACCCAAGCCGTCCTCACAGACAACTGTTATAAATAACAAAGATACCAAGCAGTTCCCAGGCTTTAAAATCACTGACTTGCCCACAGCTTCTCACATGTGTGAAGCCGGCTGCCCATCCTGGTGGCCCTCTCCAGTCCTGACCCGGGCCGTGCATGGCCTCAGGCCTGGCAGGAAGCCTGGCTGCCCTGCCCCACTTTTGTGCTTTTAACACGCAGGCATCGTGATCAGAAGCGGTTTGGGCCTGGGTGGCTCAGTCAGTTAAGCGTCCGGCTCTTAGTTTCGGCTGAAGTCATGACCTCGTGGTTTCGTGGGTTTGAGCCCCACACCGGGCTCTGTACTGACAGCACAGAGCCTACTTGGGATTCTCCCTCTCTCCCTCCCTCTGCCCCTCCCCCTTCATGCTGTCTCTTTCTCAAAAGAAAGAAAGAAAGTTAAAAAAAATTTTTTTAATATAAATAAAAATTAAAAAAAAAAA